AGGGTGTGAGGAACAAATGCTTCAGTCAGTGGATCTGATAACAAGAGAAGTCATTCCTGCCCTGATGATGAATTGTACCATGGTTCTTAAGGTTCTTAATATACTTTCAGAAGTGTGTGGTGCTGTAACACAACAAACAGGAAGCCATCAAGGGTTGGATCTAATGGAAAAATCAGCTGAAAATGTACAAGTTAATGTACAAACACTGGATTCAATACCTACGGAGAAGGTCATTAACAACACTTTTGTTCCTCAGCTGTTGCAAAGCATGGAAAAACTACCCCAAGAAAGGAATGACCAGGATGGAAGACATGGTCTATCAGATGTGAAACGCTTTAAACATGAACTCATCAACATGATTGCAGAAAGTGCTTCAAGCTCTTATGTTGAGGCCTGTTTCAGACATATGACCTCCATCATGAGCAAAATATGCATGAGTCAAATAAACCATGCTGCTGGTGGTGCCGTTAGAAACATTCTCAGCAGTGTCGATGCCCAACGTTTCTGTGAAAACCACCTTTATAAGCATCATATGAAAAAGGCAATCCAAAGTTCACATGAGCTGTTGTCACAGTCTGAGAAGAGGGACTTGGAGTCTTACATAGAGAAAATTTCTGATGTTAACCACCCTGCTACAGCTTTGGACATCCATGTCCTCACACAAAGTGATGCTCTGGAAGGCAAAGGCATCAAACTGGTTACGGTGGATAACGATGGGAAGAAGCTTTCAGAAGACTATTTTCCAGGGAAGGAGGACTCAGCAGGTGATATAGTCCTCCAGCTGAAGAAGGAGCCAAAAAATCCAACACAGTGAGTGACAAATATTAATTATTTGAAATCATATAAGTTATCACTAAAATGTTTTATTCTAAAATCATCAGATATTGACAGGACCCTCATAAAGTTTCCACTTCACTGCTACTTTCAATTGTAACAAAGACTAAAAGCATTCATTTCAAGATGTTATAATCTCATAGGCTTTAAAAGCAATGTGCAATTTTAATGTTCGGTTTTATTAAATCTGGTTCTTGCCATTCTTTTACTGAATAGAGAGAACACGACTCAGTTAGTCAAAATATTTATAATCTTTTATTTAATCATCTTCCGGAAGAGAGAGACCTGCACAGCCCAAAGCCATTTTTCAGATCTCTAGCATTAGAAACCAAAAATGTGTATCATATAGGTGTTATTTTGTTGGTGTTATTTTATTTTGGTCCTTTGCACGTCACACATAGTTTCGATAAAAACAACTCCTTCTGTGTTACTAGTTTTGCTTTTTCTGTCTGGTTTCCTGTATTTTATTAACATGCCTCTGCAGCTCTGCTCTAAACTTCCTGTTTTTTAAACTTCCACTAACTTAAACCTCTGTTGCTAAGGCGACCTGTCACCCTCTGACCTGGTTCTCTCTCACAGCTGGCCTTGCTTTATACAAGCCTTTATTATTAAAATACATAAAACAATATAATCAGAAAATAAGCACTAAGAATATATATTTATTCTGTAACAGTTTAAATCCTTATAGTGGGTTACTTTAACATTCATGCAAAAAGTTTGGACACAACTTCTTATTTAATGTTTTTCTTTATTTGTATGGCTCTATACATTCTAGATTGTCACTGAAGGCATCATAACTATGAATGAACACATATGTAGTAAACACAAATTTGTGAAATAAGCTCAAACATGTTTTATATTTTAGATTCTTCTAAGTAGCCCCCCCCCGCTTCGATTGGTGCTTTGCACACTATTGGCATTCTCTTGATGGACTTCATGAGGTCGTCACCTGATGAAATGTTCTTGAAGGGGTTCTCAGAGATACTTAGCACTTGTTGGTCCTTTTGCCTTCACTCTGTGGTCCATCTCATCCCAAACCATCTCGACTTGGTTCATTACTCTCCTTCTTGGTTAAACAGCCCTTACACATCCTGCAGGTGTGTTCAGGGACATTGTTCTGTTGAAAAATAAATGATGGGATGCATGTCACTGCAGGATGCTGTGGTAGCCATGCTGGTTCAATGTGCCATCGCATCTCCTCCTCCATGCTTCACAGTCGGAACCATGCATGTAGAGACCAACAGTTTACCTTTTCTGCACAAAGACACAGCGAGTGGAACCAAAGATCTCAATTTTGGACTCATCAGACCAAAGTACAGATTTCCACTGGTCTAATGTCCATTCCTTGTGTTTCTTGGCCCAAAGAAATCTCTTCTGCTTGTTGCTTTTCCTTAGTCATGGTTTTGTAGCAGCTATTTGACCATAAAGGCCTGATTCACACAGTCTCCTCTGAACATGTAGAGATGAGTCTGTTACTGGAACTCTGTGGCATTTATCTGGACTCTAATCTGAGTTGCTATTAACTTGTGATTTCTGAGGCTGGTGACTCAGATGAATGTATCCTCAGCAGTGATGGGAATAACGGCGTTACTTTTTTCAGTAACGAGTAATCTAACTAATTACTATTCCTATCGTTACAATGCCGTTACAGTTACTAACAAGAAAATGCGGTGTGGTCGTGTTACTATTTTTCAACAAACAGACGGTTGAAGCTGTGTTCAGCTTACCGCATCTTATATCAGTTGCACGAAAGTTGCTGTCTATGTAAGTAATCTGGGCGCTACAGCTTTAAGCAGCTGCGCGACCAATCAAAAAAAGATATGGCAACACGAAATTTGGTTGTTTAGGAATAGGGGGAAGTTTTAGGAGTGACGTGTTGTCTTGTGTAGTTAGTGTGTAGTGTTGTGGATAGTTTTGTGTTGTGTGTCAGAACAATGAGGTGAGTGATACACCTGCTGCT